TAGGAAAATTCTTTGACATGCCCTTGATGTACACAGCACTTTCATTTTACAAAATCCATCTTCATTTTCAACCCTTGGACATCTTCAAGAGTTGGTCTCAAAGTCTTAAGTTACCAAGGCTGGAGTGGGCATGTGTGACAATATAATGACAATGATTTTAAAATGAGAACCTGAATTTTAAAAGAATGACATTATTAATATGTAGACAAATTCAAAGACTTAATTTTTTGAAATTACACCGTCAAAAAAACAAAAAAAATTAAAAGGAAAAAAAATGAAAAATTTAAATGTTAAAAAAGGAAAATATGAAAATAAAAGCAGAGGAAGAAAAATTATTTTATTACAAGACAGGAAGAAAATCATAAATTACAAGTATTCATAGCCAGCCAGTAGCCTAGTTTGACCATGTATTAAAAACCCATTTTTAATGTAGAGAAAGTCACTGGTAAGCACCTCTTTCCTATAAAACACTTAATTCAAACGTTTTACTGAATATTAACAACAGTTAAGGAAATGGGAAGTATTTAGACTACGTGTTTCACCTCTTCCTGTAACAGGTTTTAATTGTTTTGATTATCAACAGATAAAGGAAGCAGGAAAAGTTTTAAAACAAAGACTCATTTTAATACTTTAAAAGTTAAGAGATGATGATGAAAAATTAACGAATCTTATAAATTTAGATTATAATCAAAATCGTCACACTTTTGGTGCTTACCATTGGATAGAGCTTGCTGTAGTTCTGAAGCTGATATTTCACCGCTTCTATCTTTATCTATCCTAAAAGGATAAACTTACACATAACAGCATGCAATAGGATAGGGTACAACAAACAGTGGATTCTTATACTTACAAAAGATCCCAGGATATTATCAAATTAGGGTAAATTCCTACGGTAATCATATACTTCACCATGTAATTTTGAATGGGTAATTTATTGAAGAGTGTTTTATATCTGAACTTGGTCCATTCCTAGTCATATAATGCAACACTTCATACAACTTTAAAAAATCCTGCAAAAATCATAATTTTTTTTTAAATCTCAAGACAGTCAAGTACATGTAGTCCAGCTCTCTCCCCCCCCCCCTTTTAATATCCTGTGATCAACATTGAACATGCTCTCAGTCTGCAAAGTTTAACACTGTTAAATTACAAAGGTGTTTATATGCAGAAAAGCATAGGACACATTTCAATAAGCATGCGATGTGGGAAGGTAACATTCTCGTGTTGAAATAAAGGAATATGACCTACATGAATATATATATCTGGCATTACTTTACAGACATGATGTATATGTATAAATCCACTGTTTATCTACCCTCTGTATGATCAGTACATTCTTACCATTGGATAGAGCACTTTGGAGTTCATTAACACTAATTTGACCACTTCTATCTTTATCAACTCTAGAAAAAAATTCATTGTGTAAAAGTATGGCAATATTGTTTCAATTTACAAGTACATGCATTTAAAACAGCAACAGAAAATAAATGTGTCATTGTTCAAGTACTAGTACGTAATTCTTTGATATTCATTATTTCAAACCAGGAAGTTCCTACAATTTTTGTGATGGAAATATTTGTACCAATGCTATCAAGAATATATTTACAAATATGAATTCCTTCCTTAAATTTCATATAAATGCCCAATACTAGTTCTATTTTATTCTTTTACATTACATTTTTTTTAGGAGAATTAGAATCAAATGTGATTGAAAATTAAAATCTTTATTTAAGCAATGAATCCAAGTCTTATTACAGAGTCATTGTCACTTTCTGGAAAGGGGGTGAGGGGAGGGTCTGAGAGTGGTATCCCCTCCTCAGATGCAGTTTTTTTTTAAATAAATGGGTGCCATTTTGGTGAGTTCTGACACAGTCTTAGTTTCATTTCATCCAAAATAAAATAAACAAAATAAACATGATAAAGCAGCATTACTTTAAGCAGACTAATAATGAATTTATTTTGCTTCAAACATTATATTTACAAGTGTTTTTTTCTTAAAGGAGAGTGCTATCAGACCCAATGCACCCTCTGTTCTGATGGCCTTTTATTATGCATGCTACATATTACATTTTGTGGAACAAATGATTAAGTGATCTAATTATAGGGTGACATCAAAACTTCAAATTCCAGAATGAGAACACATGACACTTTCCATGACTGGTGTCATGTGTCATATTATCTATTTGGGTCTCATGAGTATTAGCTAGTTAATTCATAAATATGTGCAAAAAAAGCTAAGGTTTAAGATTAAAGGATTGGTTTACCATCAGATAGAGAAGATGGGGGGGGGGGGGGGGGGGCTACTTTATTGATTTATAAGTTATAATGTGTAAATATAAAGCCAGCAAGTATTTGTATCTCTTGTTTTTTTTTACTATGAAACTAAGGACATATGCACAAGCAGACACATAAATAACAGACTGGCAACTGTTGAAAATCTTGCAAGATCTCGCGTTCCCTATTGTAATTGTTTTAGTTACTTTTTTTCAAATATTCCCCACAGTTTGAATCACATAATTCTTTAAAACTATCAATGATAATGAAGTTAAATGTTTAAATTTATATTAACAAACTAATTAAGAATTTTAAACTTTGTTTCGTAAATTTCTTTATTTAATATAAAAACAAGGTAGAAATCTGAAATAGCAACAGATGACTATGATCTCTGAGCATGCTTAGATTTTGCAAACTATTGATCGTTAACTTCTTTAACTTGCATAGTTTGATTTTAAAAAAACAATATGTAATTTTAAAACTTTACAAATCATACACCCATATATAATAAAATTAATATTAATTTAACTTAAGATTGAAGTACACAATCCATAAAGAGTAATTTTTGGGATACTGCTGGTATTGGTATTACATATTAACAGAGGAGTTGTGGATATCTGTTGTTCATGTCTACAGTCTCCAGCACAAGCAAAGGAAGCATTTTTCATCTTGATTTAATATGCAGTGTAAGAATCATATTTCAATTTCTTCCATGTAATTTCACTTTATAAAAAAAAAATATTATCATGTGATTATAGTAAGTAAAGAATATGGTGATAAACAACATTGCTAAATGTTTTAAGAATTTTTCTTCACTGTTTCTTCCACGCAGACAACACTAAAGTAAGAAGAATCAAGTTTTAGTGCATTTAGTACGTTTCACTTAATTGCCAATGTCATAATCTTAATGTTTTTCATGATTAATATTGTGACATCACTGTGATTCATTTTTGCCATTTTCAATTTCGTCGGAAGTCGGAAATCTGATTGCTGTACCTTTGAAACACGCCCCAGAGGAAATTAGGATCAACTCCAGGAGGTGCCTGTTGAGGGTTTCCTTGATATCCCTGTTGCTGTTGTCCGTAGTATGCCATTACTTCGGTTTGCCTATCCCTGACTGGCCACAGCCAAATTTTGAGTTGCGAAAATTTTCCAATCAGTGTTAATTTTATGCTTAAATTTCCTAAGTCGACATTCTCAATTTCAAACACACAAAAGATTCGGTTTGTTTGTTCGGATGTCATCGTACATTTGAATTGCTTTCAATGAAAACTCCAGAAACAGAGTTCCTTAGCAAATCTGTAAACAGTAATGGATGCCATGTAAAGAAATTTGCTTGAAATTTTGAGAGATCATAGTTTGTTTCAAAAGGTAGGTTGAAATCGTGATTGATTGAAGAGATCTGTGCTCTGTCACAGTGTATTTAATACTTAAGTACGATCTATCTGCTTTTTTTTGGCTTAATGATAGTAAGTTCTAAGCATCACAATATCATTTTCAGATGTTATCAAAAATAAGACCTAAGGATGTGTGGAAATTGAATATTCATTTTTATGTATGGATATTCAGTTGTGCACAGACTCGATTTTCTTTATGATCCTCATATACATTGGTTAAATCTGTTAATCATAGCTTGTATCATAATGAAAGTAGACTGGTAGATACATATAAAGAGATTACAAAGCATCAGGTGAAATATATATATGCAATATGATGTAAGATGTAAACAACAATATGTTTACACTGTGACTGTTAGGGCAAGTGCAGTTGTTTACACGTAACTTTGATCAGCCTTTTCAAACTGCACGAGACACAGTGTAGACGTTGACATCACATGAGATGTTCAGTATTTCAATGTAACGTCATGTGGATTGACATATTTGGACATATTGTACTGTGATGTACACAACACAGGTTGCACTATAGACCAATTTTTATCCAGTGAAATATCGAGGTACAACCAGAATTTAATAAATGGTGTTCTGAATGTTCATTTAACCCCAAAACAAAGTGTCAAGATTAAATGAACATTCAGAACACCATTTGTTGACTGATACAATGGATCACAAATATTTGCCTTATTTTCACGAGTTAAGTATTTGGTTTTTATAAGCGAGACGAAATTTTCTCAAATGCTAGTTATTGCCTATATATATCCTTTGCTAATAAAAATATATTTGAGAATGAAATTTTCATGAGCAGACCATCTGCATTTTCAAATATATAATTAATATGCAGATTTCTTGGATTGTTGTTATACGTCCTTAATGAATTTATGTACACTGTACGTGACAATTTTCTGCGGTAATACGGTGACCATGTACGTAGGGGAAATTGATCCCATGCAGAAAAAAGTATGTCTATAGTATTAATAATTGTTTCAAGTCACAAGAATGATTCAAGAATTAACTAAACAAAAGTATTTTGAAGTTAATTCTCTGGAATCAGAGGTAACAAATTATAACCAGAGTGACCATGTATCTTAACTGATTTTTTTCCCCCAATAATTTTCTGGGTAAAATTTGTTATGAATTGGTTTTTTTTTTTTTCATTTTTGTGTAGAATTAAATTGAAAAGTTGTACATAGTTTGAGGATGAACACATATGCTTTATCTTGTCCAGACTTGAGTAACACACATCCCAGAATAATGCCTGGAGAAAGACTGTATGGGGCTGCAGGGGAGCCACAGAATACCACAGTACTAATGGAAACCATCTATAAATTAAAACAAGAAATCCAGAAAAGCAATGCAGAGAAACAAGCTCTTGCAGAACAACTCAACTGCCTTATTCTCTTAGTTAAAAGGTGACTTTAAAGCCATACTTTGATAAATCCATGTGTTGCCTAAAGTCATGATAATATAAAAGTTGCCATAAGAATATAACTTTGATTTCTTAGTTAATGAAAGAGAAAAAAATGACATAATATCATTACAATCCATCCATGATAATAAATCAATACATTATTGTCACAGTAAAGAGTTCCAGTAAAGAGTATCATATATACATGTATATATTTTTGCAGATCTTGGGATGGGGATCACAATGCCTCCCTTCACTTAGCCAATATTGTCGGTAAGTATTCTAAGCATTCAAGACAGAGAGAGAGATTTAGTTTTGAATTTTATTCAAAGTTCATTACCATGATGAGGTTTAATTGGACTGATTTTTGCATGATGCATCAGATTAACCTTAATATTGAAAGCAGTACGTGAAGTGGACATTCTTTGTTTACAGGGGTTCCGCCACCTGATTTTCATCATTCACAGAGCACAGAGAGAATTGTTACAAACACACCAGTCCCAGAAAATGTCAAGGTACAAATTTATAAATAGCTTAAAATCAGCTATTTCGAATCAGTCAAGCTTCAAATCTCATATCAATTGATATCATAAGTATGTGAAAAAGCTATTTATAGGTTATTGACTCAATATCAGGAAATATGCCTGATCAAGGTCTTAGCACAGTAAAGTGGACCTACTTGCAAGGTACACTCTGTGCCAAGAGCGAGAGCGAGCATATGTCCCGATATTCAGTCAATAACATTTTTATACATGTATCATACTTTTAATGTCTGTATGCATTCTTTCAATGCATATTTCATAGATGAAATCTCTCTGAATTCTTGGTCTTAAACATCCTTACAACATTAGTAACTCTCCAGAGAACAGATTTTGACGTCACATGTGATGTCATTAAGAATGGAGAGATAGAAAAATATATTGTGACATCACAAATGCAAAAGTAGTTTCTGGGCGTTGACAGCGTGAGATGCTGTGGCTCTTTAAAAGCCTGGGTTCTCTCTTTACAATCTATTGAGAAAAATATTAAAATATATGTTTTTCAGTTGAAATTTGTTGTTTTATGCATTATAATCTATGACATATTTTAGAGTTTTTGTAGTTAACAGCAAAATAATGTTGTGAGAAATATCTGTATGTTGTGTTTACTTTTTAGAGCAAGGCTGTCCAACTTTGGGAACGCTTAGCCATTAAGCTTCTGGAGCAAGACAACATGAGAATCCAACATGAAATTCAGCAGCGTCAACAGCTGTATATTGAACGACGACAGCTGTACATGGACGAACTTCTAGAAACACATCAAAAAGAAATGACACAACTTCCTGTCACTCGCAGCAAGAAAAGTTTAGAGGAAGTGGACAGAAAGTTTATGAAGACTTTCAACAAGGTACTTCATTTCTTAGTGATTACAACTAAGGATGCTTTCTTTAAAATACTTTTTAAGGATTTATCTCTCTAAAGAATCTCATCTTTAAGAAAGGGGGATGCATAGTTTGTTAATATTTTTACTTTCTTTAAATATAAATCTTAGATTTGGAAGAATATGACTAAGTTTACTTATACAAAAAATGAATCATTTGTGGAATATTTAAGACATTTTTTTCTTACAGTGTACAGAATTTTTTAAGATTTATTGGGGGAAAATATCAAATGAGATGCCCAAATTATGATAGAAAAGCTTATTAACTATACGTCCGTTTTTCTTCTTAGAACTCAAATTTAAATAGACCTGCCAGCGGGACTCGTACAACACAGCTGAGAGCTAAAAGTGCCGTGACAAGGACAAGAAAGGACAGTACAAATGGAGTGGAGTTAACCATTAATGATATCCTTCACCCCGAGCATGCTCATCTCAGACAAGAGACCAACAGTGTATGCATATCTTAAGCTATGTAAATTCATGTAGACTTAATACATGCACTGTCAAATATTCTATATGCTCTGGCAAGTTTAGTGAATGAAACTATTTTTTACATTTTATCTTGGTGTGTTTCTGATGAAGTATTGTAGGAGAAGAATGCTTTGCAATATGATGCAAATTTATTTCATTTCTAGTTTTTGATAATTGTAGGCATTTTCTGGACTTTACAAACTGGACAAAGAAAGTAACAAGGACCAGTTTTACAGTAGACTGGACTATGATGACCCTAATAGATATAAACCAGCAGTAGGTTTAGCTTGCATTCATTTACCAATGTTTCTGTACAAGTTCTTATCAACTTATCATAGACACTTGCAGGGATCTGCTAATTATAGACAGAGACGTTTGTATTGGTTCATTTCTTCCATATGTGTGTCTTTTTCCTTTGGTATATCAATGACAGCTTATTATGAAATACCGGTACACAACTAACACTGATTTGGGTATAGAAAATCTTTATAAATGTTCCTTTTATTATAACATGTTATGCTAAATGAAACTATTGTAGGACCCATTTTTATTAACTGCTTTACAACCTATAACTCATATCTAGTCTGTGCAGCTTTGTGAATAATTTTTATTCAGCATTTTAATGTTTATTACAGGGAAACCTCTTTGATCTTGATACTGTGTTTGGGCCAGACCATCATGACTCTGATACAAAGCGACCAATCAGTGCCTTCCTTCCAAATGGCATGGAAAGACAGAAACAAAGACCAAAGAGTGCAGGTGGTAAGAGGTTTACATTTCATTAGTTTTATCACCAATAACAGAAAAAAAGTTTAAGCCCCCTATCTTTGTAATTTATAAATACAAAGGAGCTTGAATGGATTTCTATGAATCAATTTAGGAAAGGATTGAAGCCTCTGTAACTAATATACATGTACATATACTATACAGGCATACTTATAATAATAATTATGTTGACTAATCGTTTCAGTGTTTCTGACACAAAAGCATGAAAGACAGATAAAATTTGACACTACAAGACCTGTATCAGGAAAACCATCTAAAGGAAAAGGAAACCAGAGAAAGAAATCTGCTGGACCAACAAATATTGGTAATGAACCTGTTCCAAGAGAGGAAGATTCTATAATCCATATGCCCCCCGATACAACAGATAACTCTGTGAATGACAATGCCAGTCAACAGTTAGAGGAATCAGATGAGGAGCAGCAGCCAATCAGAGTGAAGATGAATACGCATAAAAAACGCCCACAACATGTGGATAAATTCTGTAATGAACTCAAAGACATGGAAGAGATGGAAAAAGAATTTAGGAAGAACACCATTGCTTTGCAGAAGCAGTTGGGTATAGGAGATACAGGAATGGTTTTCTGATTTTATTATTCCTGATGTACATATTTTAATCATTGAAGTCATGTTTACTGCCTTTTTAAAACTGCTGTCAAAAAACGAGATATGAATGTGTGTTTACAAGATTTTGGTATTTGGTTGTATGTAGAAGTAGGTTGTATTAGGGGATGTTAACTTTTTTTTTTATTTTGTGCATTTTCTTTAACCAAATTGTACACTAACTGTTGTTTTCAGATGCTTTTAGCTTACAAGCATTTACTGCCATGGACAAAAATTAATGTTACAATGAATTAAGTACTTTGTTACTAACCAATGGAGTAATATGGGACATGCATTTGTTTTAAAATTGAAAACAGATCCTTTTGTACACTTATATAAATTCCTCGTGTTTTTCATTATTTTGATGTTATCAGATTTCTTTAATACATGAGATATTCTGCACCAATTGTAAAGTTTCTGATAATCTAGAAAAAACTCCAAAAAATAAATAAAACAGTTGAATTTATTTTGAATCAAAATTATTACATCAATGATAGGAAGAAAATACAAAATGGAAAAAAAAACAACAACATAGGAACATTAAATATTGTAAATGGAGGAAAGAAAAACACATTTACATCTGCAACATATTCCAGAATGATCTCTTCTAGAAGTTAGTCAAATAAATGGGACTCTTTGTAAAAGATCTGAACATTTGAATACTGCATGGATTTCATCAGACCCTATATAAAATGTACTTTGGCCCAACACTGAAATTTGTTTATTTCCTTTTGGAGATGCGCCATTTAAACAAATGGATATATAAATCAAAATTAATTTCTATTTAAAACAAAAGGAGATATATTACTCAGTTTTGCACTAAAATGTTGAATATAGTTAGCTACTCTGTCCTTGAAAACTATGGATTTTTATTTAATTAAGGCTATTTAGCATCATCTCTTTCAAAAATGCAAAATAAAATTTTAATATAGGCCATGTGAGTGCAAATGTACAATGAACAACACATAATTACATATTATTACATATAGATTCTCTACAAAGCAACCAAAATGTAGTATATTTAATGATAGTTAAGAAAATGTACAAATTAGTGAAGAAATGCAAATTACAGGATGTACAAAAGCCCTATAAATAATCTCTGTAGGTGATATCGGTGCTTTATTCTAAATCTGTTCTTGACTACTGCATGTACACTGTACAGGTACAACAGTCACTAAAACTCTACAGTGAACAGCATGCTCATGTGCAAAAGCTATAATGTGATAAAATGTATTATGCTAGTTAATATCCCTCATAAACATGTCTGTGTGTCTGTAGATGATTAACAATGTAAATCCCGGCATTTTAGACAATAACTTGTGGCAATGGATGAGCAGCCTGTTTCATTGAAGGCACAATCTTCAGGGTCACATTCAAACAGGCAAACAATGGGTTGGGGTTGGTAGCATAGCTGAAGATCTTCAGTACAATTGTGTAGCTTCCCTGAAAGTAAAAATATCAACAGTAAACCCCTGGACATGGATATGATTATGACTGACAATTGTATATGATTATTATTGATTGATTTGGACAGTTAGGAGATCTGTGTACTTACTGTTGGTAGTTTGGTCAGATCTTTGTACTGGAATGAAAGCCCTTGATGACCTATAAAATTTTAATTCAAAATTGCAGTCTACTTAAAGTTCAAGTATGCAGTAAGTAAGGGTGAAAAGGAGATAAGTACATACCTCCTTTTTTGATTGGACAACTGAAGAGTTTTCCAACTGCTTTTTGAATGTCGGTACAAGAGATATCTTGGTCCACGGAGAAAATAGGCTGTGGGCTGTCTTCCATGTATACATCAATGTGTGCTTTACCCTTATCGAAGTCAATGGCTGTTGGCAAAGGATTTTTTTTTTAGTTTAAAGATTCAAAGAAAGTTTATTCCAAAAAAGATGTGTGATTTTTGAAATACTTACGATCCACAATGTCAAGATAAATTTGAACATATTTCTGTGGGTCGATTACTTTGGGTTTCCATGTCACGTTTATATGTGAACCAGATGGCCCTGAAAAAAGAAAAGAAATTCTAATAAGGTTTGTTTGCCCGTACATGTAAAATTAAGACTTAAAAAAGAGATATTATTTGTTTCACTTCACATGTATTCACATATAGGTAACAGCCACACAGAAGGAGGGGTGGCTCCCCACCTTTTTCTGGAAAGTCTTACTGTTAATTTTGTATGGAAATTTTCATTCTGAAGTGACCCGCCCCCCCTTTGTTACAGTATGGTTGAGCTCTTGAGCTTACGTTATTGTATTCTCTTTAGAGAAGTGGACAGGCTTTCGCCTACATCCATGGATGTCCACTTCTCTAAAGAGAATAACGTTATTGTACCAAAAAAAAAATAATCTGCAGAAAATGAGAGTAAAAATGGAAATGAGTGTATCTGCCCTTTTTTTTCCGAAATTTTGTTTTTCATTTTCTTGATTAACCTCACTCCCACACTTTGAAGAGAAATACTTCAAGACTCAGCATTAACCGGTTTTCATATAAATTATTTTTCCCCCAGCTATTTAACTTGCGATTCTTAGACTCGGGATTTACCATATAAACCTTAAACAATTATCTATACAGCTAAATCATACCGCAATTTATGGCCGTTCCTGTGTCGTCATCTGTGACAGGAAGGACTTGAAGTCCAGACAAGGGCAGCATGTTTTTAATCTTTCTTATTTTAGCAGCATTGGACAGCATTGAGAACAGCGAATAAACCGAAGCTTCATGGGAGGATCCAGTTTCCTCTGGGGCCTCGAACTCCTCTACATCATTTTGACCTTCACCCCGTCTCCCTCCAAATCGGATGATCTCCCTGACGTTGATTTGTTTGTCCACTACGACATATTTGGGGCGTTTCTCGCCATCTTCCTGGGAGAAGGAAAGCGATACAAAGAGAAGGACAGCAGCCAACACTTGTACAGCTAGCCCTTTCATCTTCAACCACTGAAAAAAAAAATGGAATTTCTTAAAAATACTTCGTGATAATGTTCGATAAATGATATTAATTTTTTACTATCCAGAATTGATACACCATCCACTATTATACCCTTTTAAAGACTCATAAAATCGAATGAACATTAGACGATATCTCTTGCATATTTATACTGGTATACTTCCTTGTTTTAATTTACACGTGACATTAATTCGTGAGATACATACAATTTATTAATTTTCAACAATTTTAACATAAAGGACTATTTCCTTTCAAAATTGCCAATATCAGTTAAAGTGTTTAATTACTTCCAGGTACACAAGAAATACAATTCATCTGAATTCTTACATAGAAATATGCTGATCTGTCAATGTCTGTCAATATCAAGGTGGGATAAAGTTCAATTTGAAACTGAAGGGCCGATTTTTTATTCAAAAATATATTTCTAGATAGCCAGTTGTTTGTTGGAGCTCCGGAATTAATGGTTTTAATCTACTTCTGAATTATACATTTATTAGAAAATGATTCTTGTAAATTGAAGATTTTTGGAGTCATTTTTATCACAATGTAGTCTGTATTAGCTTGGACTGTAGACATTCTTCCTGCATTTCTCAGAATTAATATTCTGTTAAGAATGAGCACCAATATTGCTTTTGTTAAATTTGTACACAATGTAAATCTCAATAGTTTTTTCCCATATATTCGGGAATTCAGAGGTCTAAAATTAATCTGGTTTCTTTTCTTTCCTCATTAAGGAGTAAAGGTTGAAGTTTATGATCCGATGCCACAATTCTAATTTGTAGGAAATCGATACACCGTACTAAACTTTTAAAATCATGTATGATTTACGTATATTGCTGTTGTATGAAGTATGCCAAAGGTATGCCAAAAAGCCTATCATATCACCTAAAGGAGACGGCACTAGGAATGTGATTTTAGGCTCCTGTCTGAGGAACACCAGATTTTCCTCTGTAAGAAATGTAATATTCTGTGGACAGGGTTGAGAAATGTTTCATGATTAATCAAAAAAGTTTTATTGTAGAATTTAACAGATGACTTAATCACTGACTTATCGGAGTACTTTTTAGAAAAGGACAGTCAATACATACTTTGAAGATTTTTTTTAATTATTCATTTTACGTAAAATGGATCTCCCCTCGCTTGTCAATAAACCCTTATCAACAAATTACAAATACGAAATAAAATCTTTGAAATCAGTTAAAAAAAAAACGTCTAATGAAATAAGGAAACAACATAGAGGTTATCGTATATTTTAAATCACAAGGATGTTAAGCAATGTTTATCAGAAGGGAGAGGGACAAAAAAGAATGAGAAGAAAGTTCCAGAAAAAAAATTGACAAGTTAAAAAATACAAATAAACAAGACTCGAAAACCTATATCGTTTAGGAGGATTCAGGTTCCTCCCTCTTTTCAACAAAAAAGTGGGGGGGGGGACCTTTTAAAACATATTTTCATACTTAATTTTAGCAAATCTCGGAAAAAAGTAAACCCCCCCCCCCCCCGGCCATACTACGTGAGTTCTCGTAAAGATTCCAGAGTTATTAGGAGGAATGGACAGTTGCACTACTGAGACATGCATATCCTAGAGCACTGTCCCTTGATATCTTTTGTAGCTTAGAAACACAGACCTTGAGTAAAAAATAAGGTCAATTTTGGAATATGATTTCAGCATGTCTCGGGAAGTATACGGAATTTCGAAAAGAACTTTGGTAGTAACGTAGATTTTTTATATATGTGTATATTTATGAATTGTTTATATATGTGTATATTTATGAATAGAAAGTAAAGTTTTCGTTTTTGATTTAAAAGTATTTTATTGGCGAATGTGGGTACCCTATGTAAGGAGTTTCATACCTTTATTTATTTATTTATTTTTTTTATTTTTATTTTTTTTTTTTTTGTAAAAGCGATCTAAAGGCCTGTGCTTAGAAGCCTGGTAAGGGAGATAATTCAAATTACTCATCACCTCTGTTTTGTCTAGACTCAAAATATCTAGTAATTCTTTTTTGATTCCTGTATGTTTTTGTGTTTACTTCATTGTCCTCCTGCGTGTTGACAAATCATGCTAGCTTGTATTTATGTTATGCCCCCAGTGGGACCATGATTGGCAAATAAAATCTATTCTATTCTATTGACCTGTGACAACTTATGATGGTGCCATGAATAACGACATGGGTAACAATATACCGAAGTTTGAATATATTCTAATCGAGGGTTCAAAACATTGTCAAATATCTCAGTGACCTTCATTGATAAAAAATCGTTTGCAGAATTCTGAGAGTATGTCACGTAGCGCGCAAAAGGGAACTACACTAAAATCCAAAATTCCAAGCAAAGGTTCAAGAGTTATGGTCTGACATGATTTCAATGTCATTGTGCAGACCAATGGCTTTGACCAATAAGATAAGATTGTCACGATCATTTCACACTTCATAGACATTTACAGCTACAGTGTACTGATCAAGTTTTGATTCCATTTGAATAAGAGTATCACAAAACTAAATTGCAAAGGAAAAATTCTGCACCTTCAATTACTCACATATTTTAGGGATAATAAACTCTCTTATCAATGCTAATTGCTAATTATTGAAAATTTTCGTGTCAATACACGTAAAACTGAAATTATGCAGTGTCAGTTTTCCTTAATTTCTTGGCATTAACGACGTCAGTCAGTGGATAGGATATAAACGCAAAATACAGAGGTCTCTGGAACAAATTTGGACAGAGAGGAAAATCCGAATTCACTTCCTCCCTTAACATAGCAGATCCTCCTATGACATAGCAGACTAATATGCACAGGGGAAACCGGCGACGTCAAGGAAAGCAACGGAACAGATATATTACTTATAGTTTTACCTTCATCGGTACGTTTTTGGTTAACTAGTGGAAAAAATAGTAATCTTACCTGAGAGAGAGGAGTAATATATTTACAATCTATCTGCGGGTATAAATGTGGAAGAAGAGCAATCTTGTGACTGCTGACCCCGGAAGAATCAACACTTCCTGGATTCTAAGGGTTTTATAATTGGTTTTACCGAGACGTAGGACTTTAAATGTCCGCCTATTAAACATAGAATATTTAGAAAACCCCCTGTTTTAATGAAGAATTTAAATCTAAAATGTGAAGATAACGAACGCTGCGACCAATCTCATAAATCCAGTCATATTAATGGTTTTGTATACTTCTATATCTCATTAATTCATTTTTTTAAAACTTGGTAATATGCTGTATTCAACGATGATTCAGATACAGTCGTTTTAAAGGCATCTGCATAATGCACACACACGCACACTACACCAGACCGTAGGATGACAAGCAAAAAAGGGAAAAAGTCATCAGACGTTTTAAATTGTTATCGAGGAAACACAGCCGTATAAAAATGACTTAATTGCTTTTTATTGTGTAGTACATGTATAGGCAAAAACCCTTAGACCCTGGGATAGGGGGCACCCTTTTATCATGTTTATATCAGTAAAATGAAGAAGTTTAACCACATTATCATTATATAAATACAGCCCTTTGATGAGGTCGATCCATAGATATATCGACTTCACAGAAAAGCATATCCACTGAGCACGAAGTGCGAAGTCGATATGCTTTTCTGTGAAGTCGATATATCTATGGATTGACATAATCAAGGGGTTACATTTGTTATTTTATTTTCCTTGGAACAAAAAAAAATCATTATTACATGTAGATGTTATGACTTTAAAAGATCTCTCACTATTATAGACGCATCTTATAACAAGTCATTATTGTAATCATTGGTAAGACGTAACAATGCCTTGAACAAGGATCTACTTTATATTAAAACATATTAGACATGTTTTTCATAAATCGATACAAAACATAATAAAACAAATGTAGCCTTTGAAATTAGTAAATTCCCTAAATTACTCTATCAGTGTATAGGAACCACAATCATATTAAACAGCTTAATTTATTTTGATCTTTAGTCTCTATGTGTTTAAAAAAGACAAGAGAGAAAGCTTGTGGCGTAATGTTCCCACTATTTTCAAAGTTTTTTCTGGTCAATCTCTGTAAAAAATGATATAACAAATGTAGCCCTTTCATGAGGTCAATCCATAGACATATCGACTTCACAAAAAAGCATATCGACCTTGCACTTCATGCTCGGTCGGTATGCCTTTCTGTGAAGTCGATATATCTATGGATCGACATCATGAAAGGGCTATATTTGTATGATATAACTTTGCACGTGATATCAAGCAAAGTTCGCAAACCAATCAGATTAATTGAATTACACAGTAAAAATAATACTTTATATATTGTATAGATCTATATGAGTGATCGCAGTAGGTAAGGTAGAATTTTGAACATCATACAAAGTTTACAATTTCTCAACACTTTAGAAATTTGATACTTGCATCATTTACAACCAAAATAGGTCCAAATATATATATATATATATACCAATCAAGGCATCCATTTTTTTGTTTGTATCATCTGTTTTTAAGCATGGAAAAGTCCTATGTGGATATTACCCCACCACCGCTCTCTGGTATTGCTTTCTTGACTAAGGCATTTGTTTTCATTCCTAATGTCTCCATGCATATTCCCATAACCCTTTTCCTGACAGTAGAAACCAGGAGAGAGAGAGAGAGAGAGAGAGAGAGAGAGAGAGAGAGAGAGCGTACTTAAAAAACTGTTAAAAAACCGGATCCCTGGGTGCTTAAAATGATTCATATTTCTTGTACTTTTATCCGCCTTGCTTGAGAGCCATGTACTATATAACTGTTATTCATTAAAACTGTGATGTGTACGTAAGCAAAACTTTCAATGATTCATGACTCATGAGCCATATAGATAGGTCTAGGAATATTTCCAAGCGGGAGAGGAGAGGGGGGTCATACCATCTCCAAGAAATCCCTCTTTGAAATCTTTTTGACTGGGGCAAAATCCCTTTTTTGTGTCTGCGTGTGTGTGTCGGGGGGGGGGGGGATTTCTCACTGCCTTTTCCAGGGGGCTCTAGCTTAAGATTCTTGACAAGTAATACAAATGAACAAAAACACCCCCCCCCCCAAAAAAAAAGAAACACAAAAAAGAGAGCCCCCCCCCCCCCCCCAAAAAAAAACGTATTAGTGCCACGTTGTGTTTTTTTCTCCTTAAAATCCCAACTTTAAAGTTAGTAATTCCACTGTAATTCCAACATTAGAGTTGGGTAATTGCATCTTTAAAGTTTGTAATTCCAACTTTAAAGTTGGTAAGTTGGAATTACTAACTTCAAAGTTATTAAAATTTGGAATATCTAACTTAAAAGTTGAAAAAGCCAAGATTTAAGTTGGAATTACCAACTTTTAAATCGGAATTACCAACTTAGAAGTTACAAACTTAAAAGTTGGAAATACTAACTTTAAAGTTGGAATTACCAACTGTAAAGTTGGAATTTTAAGGAGGCAAAATTTCAACTTGGCACTAATACATGTACTTCCATTACGAAAGCCCATTGAGCTCATTTTCGTGGGTAAAAAAAATATATTTTTCGCGTTATAACGCGAAACTTTCGCGAATAAACGCGTAACTTTCGCAAATAAACGCGTAACTTTCGCGTTATAACGCGAAACTTTCGCGAATAAACGCGTAACTTTCGCGAATAAATGCGAAACTTTCGCGAATAAACGCGTAACTTTCGCGAATAAACGCGAAACTTCCGCGTTATAACGCGAAACTTTCGCGAATAAACGCGTAACTTTCGCGTTATAACGCGTAACTTTCGCGAATAAACGCGAAACTTTCGCGTTATAACGCGAAACTTTCCCTGTAAAACAGAGACATTTGCATAAGTCTACAGTTTGTTTTACTTTTTAATGATCTAGTTTATTCATTACCACGAGCTGAAATTTTATGTTTTCTCGCCATTGAATGTCTCTCTCCTCTTTCTAAATCTTTTTTGCCGTCACATTTTGTCTTTTTCAATGCTGTTCAATATAAGTGTTGAAGCGTATAGTAGAGGAGTGAAAATACAAGTCTAATTTTAATTAGAGTGATCACTCTCTATAGAGTTTGAAATAAAAGATCTCAGAAAATTGACAACAATGAGGTAAATTTGTATATTTCACGGAACAATTGTGTCACATCACATGAGTAACCTAATGTGAAAATTGGATGACAAATATTTGTATCAAATATTTCATCTCCGAAAGACTCACTGTAGAAATACAACATTGTATTTTAAGGTTGCACCACTTGGTCATATACCATTACTTACGAAAACATTGACAATTTATTCCAAGAAAGCAGTGAGTGGAGATATTCCAGAGAAAAAAATTAGTCTACAGAATTTCTTGGATTCAACAAGTGAAAAACAAGAAAATCTCTAAAGGAATATTCATTTAATTAATTAGTAGGGTTTACAGATTAAATGCAAAATCAACACTAATATATCCATTTCTCGCATCAATTCTCTTTTATATCTTCTGAAGAAATGTCATTTATAAATTCATAGAAGTCGCCCTCTGCGTTCATATATTTTATCTGTCAGTCAAGATCACAGGTTCCTGTGTAACATGACTATATATGTATAATTTCGCGTTATAACGCGAAAGTTTCTCGTTTATTTGCGAAAGTTACGCGTTTATTCGCGAAAGTTTTGCGTTATAACGCGAAAGTTACGCGTTTATTGGCGAAAGTTTCGCGTTATAACGCGAAAGTTACGCGTTATAACGCGAAAGTTACGCGTTATAACGCGAAAGTTACGCGTTTATTCGCGAAAGTTTCGCGTTATAACGCGAACAAAATTTTTTTTTACCTACGAAAATGAGCTCAATGGGCTTTCGTACTTCCATAAAAATCAAACATGAAAAAAATTTATTTTGTGGGTGGGGTGGGGAGGGCACTTCTCTCCTCCCAACATAAAATATTACCTACTTTGCAAGATATAATTTTCTTTCCCGTAGGGTGGGGTATTTATTTATTTTTGTTCTAATTTTACTTTTCTATGTAATCCCCCCACCCCAGGCTGGATTAGCTACTGAAACTTAAGCTTAAAAAACTTATACAGGTACTACTCAAAGACTCTACATCAATGGTTTTCAGAAATCATTCATTATATTTTATAGTCAGATTTATTAAGTGGAGTTGATTTTATACAATGTCACTTGCAGATAACATATTTCCTTTTATTTATATAAGTACATGTATTAGTATGTTTATAACAACCTGTTTCAACAGCTAAGGAATGAAAGGTTCTAAAATTTGTAAATCAATCAACAAATTTGTTTATAACTACACGTGAACAGAGTGATGGTAATAAATATGTATACAAAGTACAAATACTCAGTATTTTATAGTTTTTAAGTTTGCAGAAATTGATGTGTACAAGTTCCTTTGTTATTGTAAAGAAGTCTATACATTCTGTTGAAACAAAACTATAGTTTACAACCACAACCTGTTTGTATTCATCTTTGCTCATAAACCCCCCCTCCCCAAACTCCACACACCCCATACATCCAAAGTATTTTACATCATTTATATTTATAAGTGTGAATGCAGTGGGTTGACATCAGGGAAGAATCTAGACCTGTCAGTAAATAATGTTTTTTTTCTTTTAATCCCCCCCCCCCAAAAAAAAGGCAAACTTCACAGACGGCATCATTGTAAAGTGTCTTAGATCTGCTCCTTCATATTCAAAATTTTTTGTCTTAGCATTTGCTGTTGAACAAATTTACTATGGTACATATATATGATTCCCTTTAAGAAAATGTCTCTAATTCATATCAGCTGACTGTAATATGATTTAAAACTGACTTTGCATATAGGCTAATCAATCAATTTCCAAAGCTTGCACATGAACTTTATACTCAAGTACAACCTTTGAATTGCCCAATTCTGTAAGTGCAGAACAAATAATATTGAACATCCTGTTCATCAATTGTTCATTTATTAAACATACTAATTTAAACATACATTTTGAAAGGCACTTGAAGAATAAAAAAAGGAAAGAAACCTACAGTTAATTAATCCTCAATATCCAGTACGTACATATTGGAACTTAGATATCCAAGAGTCCCAGATATCAAAGTTAAAAATCAAATTCATACGAATGTTCTGATCACTAACTCACTCTGACATTTTACCTAGCTATTAATTTAATATGCAAGAATTCAGATATCAAAGTTTAAAATAAAATTTACATTAAGATTAGGACCATTAAATCAATTTCATATAATATACCTAGTAATAAACACATAAGTGTTCAAGTAACAGAAGTTCAACTTCAATTTGGCTTTATGCACCATACTTCTAATATGTAAATTATTAATAGTATACCATATATTCAGCAATGAAATTTTATATATCATATGACAGGAAAATTATGCTACGAAGTTTGACTTTCATATAAAGATCAACAATTCATGTATAATGGTCATACATCTATATTTCTTGTAAAATATACATGAGAGGTCTTAATTCATGTTTTAGAACAGAAAATACTAAGGCAGCAAAACTTAGTATAGTCTGATTTAGATCAAGAAGTAAAACATAGCTACTTTTAAAAATAAAAAAGAACTAAAATTACATATCAACTCTATAAGAAATTACTCGGGTAGTATACAGGCTCCAGTAAATAAGAGGTATTTGATAGAGAATACTATAATATACTATAAAGTGATAAATCCATATGTGTATATGCCAAGTTTGTAGAAGTGGACAACAGGTGCAAATGGAATTGGGTGAGGTTGGGGGTGGAGGAACTTGTGTCATATTTATACGATCTTGTTTTGAAGCAAAAAACTGAAAAACATGAAAATAAAATCACTGCCATTGTTTTATGTATGCAGAGACTTCAAATAACTGGTAAATACATTCCTTTTTTTGAATGGCAACATGTAGGAGACATATGCCCATTAAAAAAAAAAACAAAAAACTATGAATTATTGCTGTTATATGATTATGTATTTTTGCTAATATGCAATTTTCCTTATCACATATATGCATTTATGCATGATGGGATGGTGCAGTGAAGGTCATCTATGTTTCACCATTACTGCTATACTGCTTAATGATCTTTCACTCATAACACAATTGTTTTTCAAGTGCTTTTCTCTTAGACATTTATTTTAAAAACCTAAACACATGAACATTTATTATAGTCATATGATTTGAGAAAATGACACCGGTATATGTGAATGAAATGAGTGAAATCAATGGCACTATAGTTTGACTTCTTGCAGAAAGCCTCCCCCTCTATTTTCAAAGATGACAATCCCCCCTTTTAAAATACACGTACTATGTTTTTATAACTAAGTTGGGTAATTGAACATTTATTAATATAGACATTACACACTTATATACATGTAGATATATTTCTTGTTATATTTGTCACATTGTTTTGCCATATAAAGAGGTAGAGAAGAAAATAAAATGCTGTAAAAATATAAAGGTACAACTGCAATATTACTATATAATGGCACTTAGAACAATATGATGTGTATCAGGTGATAACATGCACTGAGCAATACTGGCAAAACAGGAATGTATCCGTTCTGATTTAATGAGGTACTGCCGGATAGAACACGTGGCTCCCAGGACCTGACATCAAGCCTGGTGACCTGTCCATTTGTCACAACAAAACTTTTCTCTGTACTGTTTACTCCATTGTATATCTTAAAAATAAAAAAGAATTCCCTTAGAAAAAGGCACTTTTTGATCTCTTTTTGCCATCTGTAATATTTCAAAAATAGTAAAAACTTTGAGAGATACTGTGAACAAGCTTACAAACTTGCCAAAATGATGTCAGATCAAGAGCAGAACAAATGTTTTGTATTATGAGATTTTAAAGTTTCTTCATAAAAAAATCAAATGACAAAATATATATAAATCACTAACAATCTTTGTGTAAATTATTAGCTTCTCATCTTTCCCCATTACAGAGTTATGACCGAAACACAAATTTTACACTTTTTTACAACTAGCTTAGAACTTGCTCAAGGGACCTTGGGTCAACCTTCAGTAACAAGTAATTGCTATGTTAACATGAGCTTTCAATGTTTCTTCACGAGAGTTATATGGACTAGACACAAATTTTTACACTTCTTCTACTCATTACCCAAAACCTTTAGTCAGAGACAATTTCTTGACAGTTTCCTCAATAATAAGCAATGTTTGGGTCAAATATGAGCTTCAATGACTACACCATTACAAAGTTTCATTGCAAGGAGGTGATTTCTAATAGATGATAAACCCTGAATGCCATGAAATTAAAATTTTGGTAAACAGCTCAATTCTCCAGGGAAGTTGAAACCAAATTCACAATTTGTGTTCCCATTTACCCAGGCCATGGATATATACTACATGTATGTGCTAAAATTGGTTAAAACTACTTAACTACTTCTGCAGTTTCAGGGAAAAAGCTGAAAATGGTCAAATATTTATGACGAACTGATGTTGCACAATGATGGACCTAGCAATTGGTCACCTAAGCAACTCAGATGACCAAAAAGAAAGAAAAAAAAACAAACTACCAGACAAAATAAAGTCTCATTATCTAGAAAAATATAATATTTTCTCTTCTTTTTTTTTAAATATTTTCCTATGATATTACCTGGAGAACATAAGTGCCTGGCAGAAGAATTCTCCAATATTCTCCATAGTTTGAGGAGCGAAATGATACCAGTTCACGACCTTTGATTTTTAAGGTTGCTGCTGGAACTACCTTTCCTTCTTCATCATATATTATGCCTTTAACACCTTAAAACAGAAAATGTAAGCATGTGTATGCTATCTGCCATTAACAGCTATATTTTGTAGCAAACTGAAGCTCTGACACATCAATTGCAAGTTAATTGCTGATTACAACCCGTGAGTTAATCTAATCACCTTTTCACAACCACTTACATTGACCAAATGGAGTTATTTACTAAAAAACTCTTGACCTAAGAGTGTTTGGAATAAAGATTAAGATAAATTCATTCACATCTTGAGTAGATGCAGGTAACATTTCTGCTCAATCAATGAAAAATATACAAACTTAAGATAAAATGATCAACCATTACATTTAATCAAATGACATTTCCATACCTGAATGGACTCTCATGAGGTAGTCCACCAAAGCCTGCTTGTTGTCACTCCAGAAGCCTGGGAGTGTCGTGGCTGCTGGGTATTTACAGCAGCTGATCTCAAGGGTGACTTCCATACACCCTGCCTGCATGTAGTTCCAGTCCTGCATACCACCTGACCAAAAAGAATTAGAGGTACTATGAGCCAGCTCACAAAATGATGCCCCCACTGCAATTTTTTAAAAAAGCCCTTTCACAATTTTGTAAATGTGACCTTGAACTTGCAAAATATGACCTTGGTTAAAAAAAATGTCACATTCTCTGGTTCACAAGTAATCTTTGAGTGAAATTTGGACATCCAATGTTTCTTCATTAAAAAAATTATAGACCTGACATGAATTCAACATTTTTCTATGAGTGAACTTGATCAGTGACCTGGATTCAAGGTTATGACACATATTTAGGTCATAAGCAATCTTTGTATGAAGTATGAACTTCCATTGTTTCTCCATTAAGAAGTTGTAGATTGGACAATAATCTTATACTTTTTCTGCAGTGACCTTGAACTTTTCAGAATGACCTTGAGTCAACATCATGATACATCTTCAGGTTATAAACAATTTATGTACCAAGTATGAGCTTCCCAATGGGTGAAAAATATCAAAGGCAAAACTTCATCCTTCCCTGTTAGTGGAATTTTTCGAAAGAAGCAAATTTAGCAATATGTCCTTAAAAATTGGCATATAATTTTAGCAAGAAATAATTTTAGCAATTTTATGATTTCAAGATAGATAACTCTTCCCAGTTCCCACTAATGCTGATTTTGATATTAAATTTTAGTGAACTTTAACACTTAAGTGATCTTAACACTTTAGCTAAAATCACTAGAAATTCTGCTTATGGTATATACAATTATACAGTTAAAACTTGTTATCTTGAACTCGATGGGGCCAAGAAAAAAAAAACCTGAGACATATCTGAGGATTGGAGATATTTGCAATTAGAATACAAAAAGAAAATAAATGTGGTTGGGAGTTTGAATGTATCTTTCTATTTTTTCTAATCAGCCCTAAATGCATTGAAAATTATTTAAGTCATTTAAACCACACAAGACAATGTATGCTGTGCATTCAAAATCCTTCTTAGATGGTGTAAAAATCTCTGCATGAGTTTATGATCTGTGTGCAATCTATGAAGACAGGGGCATGAACATTGCTACTAAGAATTAATTTAAATTATCGAATTAATGTTCTGTTTTAACTTTCATCATCAAGTCAAACAAGAGGCCCAAGGGCCTTAACAGTCACCTGAGTATAATTCAACACTGTAAAAGATCCACAGAAGCATAAAAAAAAATCAATAAAACAAAATAAAATGATAGATGAATACATGGTTACCTCCCATTAAAAAAGAGAAGTAGGATGATCAGGGATCAACAAAACAGTCTAGAATCAGTAAAAGTAGATCTATTTACTTGCCTGTACTTGCCCCCATGTGTCACTATCATTCAAACTTTTCATTCACTCACTCATTCATTCACCATCATTCAAACTTTTATTCAAATGACCTTTAAATTACATTATTTAGACTGATTAATTATCATAGGTAAATAGCAAAGGGGAATAACCTCCCACTAGTCTCCAAATCAATAGAGCCCTGCCCTGCACCAGAGCATTTGACCAAGTTGTTCAGAATTTCACAAATATGGTAAAAATACCCTTGCTCATTTCAAATTTGTACCCTGTTTGCCTCCTAGATATGCAAGAGCAGAGGAGATGTTCAAAGTTGTTATGTGTTTTCATATAATAAAAACAAGAGTTCCATCTAACACCAGAACCCCTGACTCAGATGCATGTAAGTTAAGGCTAGGTATAGGCATTTCTATGCAAATGAGCAAATAGAAATGCATAAGAGGTATATTTATTATTCAGAGAAAGTTTTGATTTACCTATAATTTCTTATACATACTTAGTACCCACGATATTATAGTCAGTACACATTATGATGTCATATTATGATGTACCTGGTAATTGTTCTTACCTACTGTAAGTAATGAAACACATCAACAAGACGGCTTTAGCACAAGGGATTACCTTATTTAATTTTACATAAAAATTGTATACTGCTAAGAAAAATATTCCAAAGATTAACAAGAGGCCCATGGACCACATTGCTCACCTGAACAAATTGGATAAGAAGAAGCTGAAATCTGTTCAGTATTGAAAAGTTTTAAAAGGGGGGGGGGCAATCTTAAATTTACACTACCTCAGGATGCTTCTATATCAATTATACTAATCATATTGGCTTTGCTGTTTTAAAACAGGAGAATTTAAAGATTTTTTTTGTATGTTTCCTATATAAAACTCTGATCTCTCATTGTGGCCACACCTACCCACCATAAATTTGAACTAATTTGAATCCAAACTACCTGAGGATGCTTCTATAATAATTTGACTAATCATGGCTTTGCTGTTCTTGAGCTGAAGATTTTTTTAAGATGATTCATATGTATTCTTATGCAGAACTTTGACCCTCTGTAGTGCCCCCCCCCCCCCCAACCCCTGGGGTCATAATTTGAACAAACTTGATACTACAATACCTAAGGTTGCTTCTGTATTGATGTGACTTATAATGGCATAGTTGTTCTTGAGAAGAAGATTTCAAAGATATTTCCTATTTAATGTGACTGTATGATCAGGCTCTTACAAGGGATATATAGGTTTTCCTTTTACTATGTCTGAGTTAATAATTGGACAAGGACTGGGTAAGGTACTACTTGCTCTGTGTTTCTGCCCTGGGTTCCCAATGATAGATAAGAACTGGGTCTCTCAATCTTCTTCAGATTTACTACACCCAGAACTTAACATCAATTCCTTAGGATACTTGCCACTGTTATTTATAACTTTTATTCTGCTTTTACCCTTAAGGTTTTCCATCCCTAATAGGACCAAATTCTCTATCCTTATACATGTATGTCCATCATGTACATAATACTTTGATATTAATTTAAAGCACTTTTACAGTAGAAAAGGACTTACCAAGAGAAAGTTTCAAATATGTAATTAACTAAGCAGTAATTAATTAACAAAGATTGCATTGAAGTCTGTGGGGAAAAGCAATTTTTTAAAAATAAAAATTCATATAATAAGAATATCAATAAATACTGTGGTGGAAAGATGCATTAAAACATTAGAAATAGAATGCCAATTGAAAACGATTTTTAGGTAATTTTTTTAAAATTGATTTTTTTATTAATTAAAAACAAAGGGAGATTACTCTTACCAAAATTCAAGGTCATAAATTAGGACACATCCCACCCTTACATGCAGTGGTTCTTGAGAAGAAGATTTTTAAAAGATGCCACCAAATTTTGAAATTCATGAATTCTTTTTTTATCTCCTCTTGAAAGAGGGTACAGTACTTCCTGTGAACAAACTTAAATTCCCTTGACACCCAAGGATGCTTTGTGGCAAGTTTGGTTGAAATTGGTCCAGTGGTTCTTGAGAAGAAGTTGAAAATGTGAAAAGTTTACAGACGACAAACAACACTCCTTGATCAGAAAAGCTCACTTCAGCCTTCAGCTCAGGTGAGCTAAAAAGATTGTTTTGACCACATTCTGGATTATACAACATTTTAAACAATTGAATTTACTGAAAGGATGAGCTGCAACTTTGGTGTTGGAAATTTTAGTGTCAATATTGTAATTAACTATTTCAATGTCAGAAAAAAAAGAACGTTTAAAATCCTCTGTTGTTAATATTTGTGATGGAAGAACTATTTATAAGCTTTGATTGAAGCAAAATTGCATTATTGTCATCCTGTACAATATTGATTTCTTATATAATACTATACATTCCATTGTACAGTACAGAAATCTTTCTTCTAAAAAAAAATTGAAATTTTTTTTAGTCTAATTGATCAGAAATGTTTAAATTACATACAGATTTATCATATACAGCACATTTTAACAGCAAAATGAAATTCTCAAAAATGCAGCTCTTATCAAGATAAGACAAGTTTTATTGTACTAATAAATCGTTTGAATTCTTATGTCATACATGAGCCTGAGTGGCCTCATACGAGGACAAGGGCTGAAGTGGGGTATACCATATGTAAATATTTTGTTTGTGAACACTGACATACACGATAGTATTTCTACCTCCATACAGGAAGTAAATTACATGTACAGAACTCGTTTACTTGTAATCTGAAGTCTCACTCCTACATTCCAAAGTCTGTTGGACAGAGACACTTACAGGCCATTTACAGATAATGTAAGTATTAGAGAATACCATATCCTTTATACTTATATTATCATTTTACTTTACATATACAATGAATTTATATTATATAATACTTAAAAATCTACATATATATGTATGGAAACTTTTATGTAATTATTTAAGGAGAGAACATTTATAGGCTGTTATATCCAGCTATTCAATTTTTTTCAATATAGTCTAAGAATAAATATTTAATAAATCAAATACATTACAGTAAAACACGCTTATAGTGAACATAATTATAATAAATTGATGCTTACAGTGAACTGATTTTCATTTTCCGTGAATTAAACTGTATTGTGATACTAACGGATATAATAACAAACTAGTGCTAATTGTAACGGGAACCGTTACAGATGTTCCCCAAACGGCTCCCCAATCCCTTATGATGCCCCATTCCCTACAAGCTTCAATAAATTAGACAATACTTTTGTAATATAGATGGACACTTTATTTTTAAGGGTATTTCATTGGAAAACTACTCCTATATAGCCATATGGGTATTAGCCAGTCAAATATCAGCGCATGTGCTTGCACATATTTTCTACATTTTTCACATTAATTTTCTTATAGTGTCTCACAATACATACATTTGTGTTAAATATTAAAGAATTTCATTGAAAAATAAGGGAGATGTTATCCTTTAAGTATTAGCCAATCAGAATTCAGCATACGCGCATGCATGGCCTTGCATTCAATTTTGATAGTATCGTAATGTAGGAGCTCTATGTGCCTATCCATGTCGTAAATTTCATCCTGTTTTGTTGAAAACCAAGGGAGTTATAGACATTTAAAGTTTCAACCAATCAGATTGCAGCACACCTGCATGCGCGTGTTTTCAAGAAATTTCCGATATAACATGTTGTAGCACCTTATAATATATACTTATATT